GAATTTTCATTTGTTTTGGAAAATGTGTTACCTACACTGAATAATAAGTCGACGTGCCTTTTTTTCTAGTGATTTAGTGTCCCATTCAGTTTTCATTTGAAAGAAAAGGGAGCAATAATCGATTAAAATTCAAAAATTGTATATTTCCCGCGCTTGTGTAACCAACATGGAGTGCTGAAAGCACAGACCGGCCAACCGATCAGCTGCTGCCTGTGGCTGAACCACGCACGCGTCGTGCCGACCGCCCTTCATCTTCAACGTTTGCGATCCATATTTGTTAGTCGTTGTTGATAGCCGGTCTACAATGTGCCCGTGAGTGCGTAGTGATAGCTTGCATGCTGTGACTTGTGAATCGTGAATTTTTAGCTGCCCCTGTTAATAGCAGACTAATGAATCCAGTAAGTGGAAAATTATTGGTTGTTTAGAATTAGGAATAGGTATTTATTTGAAAAACCTGGCATGTGTGCTATTTTTTTTACAAAATTCAGCCATTTCGATACTTGATTTACAAGCTGATATTTCGTCGTTTCGTTTTCCACACAGGTACAAACAATTGACCATTCCAGTATTCCTCAGGCTGAGGGAAAACCGATATTTTTTTTGTAAATTTTGAAGTTTCCTAGGTTAAAACTAATCGGAAAATGCCAAAATTGTAATTTTTGGTTATATTATTTGATTATGTGTGCCCCCCAGAGCAAATTGTCATAGTAAAGTCATCTCATCTGTACTGGAATGGTCAATCCTTTTCGATTTTTTTTTTTCCGTTAATCATAAATGAGTTGCGAGATAAATCATGTAGGTAGACAGCTACATAAGTAATATGTTTTTTTTTTTTCAATACTTAGGTATAAAGTTATTGTTGTTTTTTTTGAGAATGGTATACTTCAAACGTAAAATCTACGTATTAATACCGTATAGTTGCACTGCCATGAGTGACCCTGATGGAAAATAACTCACTTATAATATGTAATTATTTTCAGAAGCTACAAAAATTTACTTCCAAGGAGAGAACCAAGTGGGCATCACGGCAGGAGACATAACAGATAAAAATATTGGACAAGCATGCCAAGATTTATTTTTTTAGATTTTTTGTAATAACTATGCAATAACTTTTCGAAATATATTATTTGTTTCATAAATGAACTCTTCCATTTATTTTAGTTAATTAAATGTTACTGATAAAGAACAATATAAACTTTATCAAATTCGTTGCTTCAACGTATGATATAGTTTATATTTCAATGTTTAAATTATATCAAATTATAACGTATAATAATATGATTATTAAACGTATCACATATACAATTATCATTGGTGTATTATATCAATTGAATTAACGTAAGTTTTAAATTAAATATACACGTTTTAAATAGTAAATTATTAAACATAATTTCTATACATTTATTATAAGTACATCATAACAATTGAATTAACGTAAATTCTATGATAAATATATACGTTTTATACCATAACCTCATAAACATATTTTGTATACGTTTATATTTGGTACATAATTATGGTACATATCGACTTATATCAGGCTGACATTTTAACTTATTATAGCAGGCAATAGTAAACCATAAATATACTTGTGGTATAAACAAAAATTATACGTATATTAAACAATTTTGTGTTGCTTGGGTAGGTGTATAGGATAAACAAATAATACATAAACAATTATTACGCATTCGGGATTTTACTTTTCTTGCCATGTTCCCGAAGTCGGGATTGGAAATATTTTTGGAAAGTCCCGAACGGCGTTATTAAGCCACGCGTCTTCGGGATTTTGCGTTTTTCTAGCGATCCCGCGTTCGGGACTCTAGACAGTTCCTTTTTTTTTAGAATTTCAAACCCTGTATCTCGGAAAGGAAGCGTTTTCGGACATATGTTTATATAGGTAACTAGGGCTTATTTTCGACGTAGAATATACCATAAAAATTTGGTGCATTAATTTCGGAACACCCTGTATATTAAAGATAAACAATGGAAAGCCAGGGTTGCCTTCAGATAAATCAGATAATCTTCCCATGCTTTCCATGCTGTTTTTTCCTTTCAATGCAAAAAAAGAAGTAATGTCCCACCCCGTAGAAGCGACGCAGTGCTTACGATTTTTCCCAAATTATTTGCAACGTTATGAGCTATAATATATCTTTGTGATTTGCTAACCCCATATAGATACCATAATTCCTCAAGGCATGAGGAGTTCAATATATAAAAAAATTATATTCCTATTATTGCAGCTGTGTCCGAGAATCGTACTGAAACGGATTTAGCTCCATTTTGGGCCAAATGCTTAACATAATGTCAAAACCAGTCTGGATGGACTATCTTGTACCGACATGGAGGAAGCAGATGGAAGAATGTTTCTACATGTAAAGTCCTTGACCCTTGAGGAATTATGGTAGCTTGTATATGGGGTTAACAAAGCACAAAGATATATTGCAGCTCATAACATTTCACATCATTTATTGGGACCCGAAAAATCTTTAGCATTGCGTGGCTTTTATGCTTTCAGGGGGTGCGAAACTACTTCCTTTTTTGCATTCAAAAGAAAAAACAGAGAATGGAAAGCACATGGAAAGATTATCCAGAGGCAACCCTGTCCATCCATCATTTATCTCTAATGGATAGTAGCACACATATAGCACAAAAAATATACAAAATTTTAGAGAAATTCACTATACCAGTATATGATGCAAAATGTCACAAGACAGTTTAATGGAAGACTACAGAAGAGCTGCGTATCGAGCGAGTCAAATGTGGGGTCGGGGTCGGGGTCGATCGCTGTCACCTGGTGAACCTATTCCATCTCCTGGAGGATGGGGTTGGAATTCAACCAACAACCGCTGGGAGCCAGCTAGCAGAAATTTAGTGAGTTCTAAAAGACCAGAGAAGTGCGGATGTGAAAGTCAAAGTGAAACCAACAGATGTTCGTATCAGAAAGCAGGTCTACCTTGTACTAACTGCGATGGCGAATCTCAAAACCAACGATCCCTATAGTTTGCAGTATCTGTTGAAGCAGCGTCTGGTGAGGTAGTGCCATGGTGCCACAGAACCATGGCAATACCTTATTTTTCTGAAAAAAAAAAAGATTCTGTAACCTTCATATATGATACTTTGAAACATTTCTGTGAATAACAAAGTAATGCCATGGCTTCATATACCTTAGTACTACCGCTTCAGCCAGCGCAGATCTATTATAGAAGAAACTTTTTGTCTTTGATAAGACATTTTAATTTTGTTATGCTAAGCAATCATTTTTTATTTTTAGCCCCCCTCTATGGTCGGTTATATTAAAATTATTTTAAAATCGAATTTAACTGTAATTTTCAAGGTTACTGAAGGTCATATCGTTTTGAATTTTTTTTTTTCCGCAAACGTCAAAAAATGACGACTTTTTTAACCTCGATTCTCAATGTTGAAGTTTGACTTCACAGATGTCAATTTTTTTGTTACTTTTTTGTCCGCGCGTTCCGTGAGCGTACAAAATAGCTATTTATACAATAAGTTGCGAAATGAGCGTCTTTTAAGCACGCGACGTGAAAATTGTCCAACGAGGCAGAGCCGAGTAGGACAACACGTCGAGTGACTAAAAGACTTCGTTTCGTAACGTATTGTATACAAGATTTTTTCTACTGGCGTTTCATAATAAAAAACACAATTTTATTTCAATGTTTGTCACCTGCTTTTGCTTGACACCCTTCATGATGGTGACTAATATTCATAATAAATACAAAACAAAATTTAAATCTGTGTTTAGTGTGTTTTTTATTTCTGAACAATGAATGACACTTTTAGGCACTAGTGACTAAAAGTTACTTTTACGCACTTGAAAGTTACTTTTACGCACTTGAAAGTCACTTTTACGCACTGAGTGCCTAAAAGTCACTTTTACGCACTGAGTGCTTAAAAGAATGTCGTTTCAAAACTAAAATGACAATCGAAAAGTTGCTATTATGAAACGTCAGTAGAAAAAAGTACTTTTTTGTACTCTCACGGCCGGACAAAAAAGTGAAGTCACAGAAATGTCCTACATTCCTTCGCTTTGAACACCGTTTGCAGAAAAAATCGTATGTTTTATTCGGAGAAAAGTACTTTTTGTGGCTCGTCTAAAATTGTCGGCCTCACTATGTTCGGCCGTCAAACATTTAGTCTCGCCACAAAAAGTATCACTTTTACTCTTAATAAAACAATATATTATTTTGAATTCCTTGACCTCAAATTATATAATAAAATATATAATCATGCCCAAGTGAATTAATTTTGAAATTGAGGAAATTTCCGTCCGCCATTTTGAAAAAAATGCGAGATTGGGAGTCTTGAGGGTCGTAGAGCCTGGCTAGTCGGGACAGATCTCTTAGAATGAGCTTCCTGACAATTATGCCAAATTTCATGCTTGTAACCCAATTTGGCGGTTTTTTGTGTGTAGGCTCTCCACTATATGTAGTTATTAATCAATTTCAGATTGAATAAATTAAAGAAGAATTGTAACACCTCTGCCATTTATTTTAATAAAAACTGTATTTAGAAATTCTACAATCACATTTGTGTGCTAAATGACATTTCCTTGTGGGAGTCAAAACCTTTTTAAATAATGTCAAAATTTACTCTCTAGAAAGTCTTGGAGAAAACAGTGAAGATAAATTTACTTGAATGCCAAAGCCATTATTGAAAGTTAGCTAGTTTTTGGATATTTGATTACCGGTACCTACCTAGCTAGATACTATTATTTTAAAATTCCATGTCAAAACATTCATTTTGCATATCGATAGCAAAAAAAACTTGGTACATTAGCTGGTAATAAAAACGGTTAACGTCAGCTACACTAAAATAGCTTTCTGCCTGCATTAGGTGTATTATCTAAGTTTTATCACAAATAAATAGGTTCTCAGTCATACTTTTCATTTGAAAATAATTTTTTTACGCTTATTTAACAAAAAGCAAATGTCAATATTTAGGTATTTATTAGTATAATTACTCATTTGATTTCGTGATGGTAAGTAAACTATCTACTTAAACTACTTTTTATTCAGAACGCTGTTAGTTTGGGTTAGTAACCCAAAAGTGGATTATCAAATAATTTAGGTAGCAGAAAAATGCAGCCTTCACGTCAGCTGAAAATATACCTTTTAATTTTATTACTCCAACAAACAAACGGGCAAAATGTTAGGTAAGATTATCTAGAGAAAACAACCAGTTTAAAAAAAATATATATTTTATTGTAATACCTACTTAATCTTTCTAGGAGCATTTGTTCTCCTCCACCATCTCCATGTGATAGTGCATCAAAGTATCGTTCTCATGATGGCACTTGCAATAATTTAGAACATCCTAAATGGGGTGCTAGTTATACAATATATACTCGTCTACTTCCTGCAAACTACGCAGATGGTAGGTCACAAAAAAAAATATATGTAAGTATACATGAATAATTATTGTTCAATTTGTAGGTATAAGCGCTCCACCTGTAGCCAAAGATGGCTCTCCTCTACCACTAGCCAGGCTAGTATCTTCCACTATACACCCTACAGCACCTGTAGAAGATAAGCAACTAACTTTAAACGCAATGCAATATGGACAAATCCTTACGCATGATATGGGTGTAGCTCTTAATACAACTCCACCAGGTATCCAAACTACAAAACATCTTAAAAAAATCTAAATCACATTTGCATAAATAGGACTTTGTAGAAATGCGGAACTTTGAAACAAGTTACTGGCAACTTTAACGTTTCTGTATGTCTGTCCCATAATAGAGATTATCCAGAAAAATAATTGTACCTATAGTAGCATTGAGGTATGTTCGAATACATTCATACATCTCAATGAAGAAGGTTTTATGAGCTGATGGCTCAATTTGGTAGTAGTAGTATATACAGTAAGGGACAGGCTACTTTAGGTATATATGATCCAACTTGACGAATTAACGATCGTCCGCAGCCGTTTGAAAACCTGCCGCTGTCGGTCCGCTGTCTTTTTTTTTAACGACTTTGACGTTCGTTGAGTTTGTTCACAAACCATGGTTCACATCAGTACGTGATTTTACAGACTTAAGCCCGGTACAGATGCTACGTTACCGATTACTGATCACGTGTTGAACTATGCAGGCAAAACGTTATGCCACCAAAACGTAGCAGGTAGCATTTGGACCGTACTTTTAGATGCATCATCGAGCTTCACTTAGGTACTTATAATTAATTTTTTCTATTTTGGTGTCATATCGAAGTCTTTTCGACACTAAAAGTAGTTTCGAAAAGAAGCTCCTTGTGACACTCCTTTTTTACTTATCGGAGGTTGGTAACACTGGCTGACTGATGGCCATCGAACTGTCATTCGCGATTTTATAATAGAAGATTTCTATATTTGGCATGTAGTGTTACCAACCTAAACATATGAAATCAGGAAATATGAGAAAAAATTTACAAGAAAAATCTGTTTTTTTTTTTTATTAAACAATACCAAAGTAGAAAAAATAGTATAAAATAGTCGTTTCATAAGACATTTTATCGCACTCGCCCTTTGGAAAACTCGCCTCCGGCTCGTTTTCTAATATAGGGCTCGTGCGATAAAATGACGTCTTATGAAACTTGTATTTTAATGTACTATTAAGCGTTTAGATAATTTTTTGCAAACCGAAACAATAATACTAAAATGTTCTCCATCATACAAACCGCTCCAGAAAGTTACCTTCTGCGGACGCTGGGCTCTAAGTTCAAAATACCTGTGTAAATTCTCCTTAGACCAATAACGGGTGTGACTAGGATTATGTTGACCCAGTGACGGACTGGCCCGGCGGGCTGGCGGGCCGCCCGCCGCGCCCTTAAGATTTAGCGCCCCGTCGGCATTATTTAGTTATAAAATATAAATAATATCAAATTAAGGTTTAAAAATATTTTTTAATAAATTCGGAATATCGATTACTTATTAATTTAGTGCTCTCATATTAATAAGAATTTCGAGTTTCCATTAAAGTTTTATATTAAATTCTGAGACTTTTACCGCGCCCGATAGAGGATGTCTCTGTGAATTAGGTTAGGGTTGTATTCCAACCGTCATGCTATTCTTGTGCCGAGAGCCTTCCGCCCGACAAGCACCATCTTGCTCGTGCCTTGCGCTCTTCTCGTGTATTCGTTCTAGTGAAGATTATAGAGCAGATTACCAGTGCAACAGTTTGCAAGTCTTGCAAAAACTGTATTTATTGCAGTTACAGGCTATCAATCAAATTCAATCTTAGAACCAGTTTGACACGGTTCTTGGTCGAAGTGTACTTGGATGAGAACTTGGATCAAGTTGGAAGCACGCTTACTTACTTGGATTAACAGTTGGTACCATCCCAGTATCATCCAAGTGACGCGCGCACAGCGTCCAAGGGTACTTGATCCACGTACACTTGGACCGTGTCAACCTTCACGCATATGGTTATCCAATACTTTCGAAAGCTTACAAATATTTGTCGACTATCAGGTGCAAATTAGTTGTGATCGAAGCTCAAAAAGCTGAACAATATTTAAATCAATTACGAAGTAACCCAAATCACAACAACCTGGAAGTGTTTATGATAATGTCTGTGGAAAAAAATTCACTTATGTCGTTGGATAATAACGAAATTATCAATAATGTTGCTAAAACTAGCGAAAATCTCAATAAAATGTTGATTTTTTTCTTGGAAAACGAATAAAGGTTCGGTAATTTATTCTTGTCGATAACATGATTAGCCTAACTTTCAACGAGTAGGTATAGGGTCACTTGAGCCTGGGAACTTTTTCGATACCGTGGGAAAATCGGTGAATTTTGCTGGTTTTGTACTGGTTTTCACGGTTTTAGGCTGAATAAGCTGTTTTTTTGCTGGATTTTCTGGTTTTCACTGTTGTTTGCTGGTATAGCAGATTTTGGGCCGAATTTTACAAAACCAGCTAAACTAGCAGTGAAAATCAGCACAAAACCAGTGAAAACTAGCACAAAATCAGCTAAACCAGCATAAAACCAGTACAAAGCCAGCAAAATTCGCCGATTTTCCCACGGTATCGAAAAAGTTCCCAGGTTCAAGTGACCCTATACAGGGTGTCCCACGGTGGATGGCGTATAAGACGTTTATGGAAAACTAAAAAGCGGATTATTTTGAAAATTTGGTAACCGGGATAAGCGACCATAATCTACAATTTAAAAATATTTTTGTTTATGCGATGTTGCCGCTTCTACTCTAAACCAGTTGCATCATCGCTATTTTAGATGGAACACCCTGTATGTGATTGCATATTTGGATTCTACGTAAAATTCTGAGCAGATTTCCCTATGCCTAAAATCGACTGTTTTGGAAATATTGACAGTTGAAAATTGACTTTTTGCAACTTTGACAGGCTGTAAAACCTGAACGATTAATTTTAGAGGAAAACCTATTTTACATTCCTATCTTAGAATCCTATAAACTATCATTTGACACCAAATTTGAATTTGACCAGAGATTAAATTTAATCGGAATTTTCAATCATGGATTAAATTCAAAGTTGGTATCAAATGATAATTTATAAAATCGGTCACATCAATCACATACAGGTTGTTCCATTTGAAATGGCAATGTTGCCACTGGTTTGGAGTAGAAGCGCAACACCTCATAAACAAGAATAATTTTTAAAGTGTATATCCCGGCAGCCAAATTTTCAAAATGATCCGCTTTTCAGTTTTCCATTAACGTCTAATACGCCATCCACCGTGGGACACCTTGTATTTACTTCAACTTTTTCTTGGTGATGGCGCCCCACGTAGAAAATCGCCCGCCGTAAATTCAGAACCCAGTCCGTCCCTGTGTTGACCATGCAGTTGAAATGTCGACTTCTCTGTGAAGACGATTTTTCTAAGGGCCAAATTAGGGACCAACTGGTACGTGTCTGGTTGTTACCTAGCAGGTACTTTCTATCCTCTAGTGCATACAAAGTACCTGATAGGTAACAACCAGACGTTTACCAGTCAGTCCATAATTTGGCCCTAAAAAAATCTTCATTCTCATTTGCCTTATTAATGACAGTTTCACAAAACTCCATACGCCTGATGTTGTCCTCGGATCAATTTTCTGGGAGTTTCGTACTTTGTATGAACGATACTTATTTTTTTTCTCTGGCTTCCCCACCGTCCGTCCTTGTGTGTTGTCGATTCGCTTTGGTCCATTTTCGAGGCCAACCAATTTAGAATCAACCGTTTTCGATTGCAAACTGGTGAAGTGACAGGCATCACTTGTTCCGTCTAAATTCGAACCAGCTTCGCGAGTTGGTTCGAATTTTGGTTTGAATTTCAGTTTGCTTTCATAACCTTAAAATATGTTGTTTTTCTTGAGAGACCAAATTCAAAAGCTGTCAATTAACTTCTATCATATCCGAAACAACCAGTCAGAACCGAATCGAAAACGGCCCTTGTATTTGAGTCAATCTCGTGCGCAAGCGCACGAGTCGAAATAGTTGGAGTTTCGTTAACTAATGCCAACAACCAACAACATAATTTATTTGGCTTCTTGATCCTCATTATTTTCCTGGACGTCATTTCGTTCATGGTTTCGGACTCGGAGAGAAACGCATTCGTATTTTTGAAAATTAAAAACAACCCTAGAAACTGTTTACCTGGTTGCCGCCAGGTTAGAGGTTAGCACTCAATCGATTTGTCATTTTCTGACATGCGGACGCCTGCAAATTCGTCAGGTTACATCCTATATATAGTCCGACAAATACCATTTTAAAGTCACGTGATACTGGTGGCAAAAAACGTATGTCCATTGATTATGTCGTTGATATCACCTACAAAAAGCTACTGGTGGTTAATTACTATTGAATTTTAATATATGTTCCCACTAGCATTTTAGAAACGCGTTTCTGAAGTAGTATTGACCAATCAGAGGGCAATTTTAATACTTGCAATTGTTGCGAGACTCACTTTTGTTGCATCTGCTGTCTGTTGTAATACATTCTGAACTTAAACTGAGTACCCGTTTTCTATTTGCTTCTTTTCGAGTTGGAAAAAGGTTAATATAGTCAAAATTATTAGCTGTGTTTGTTCGTTGTATTACTTTCGAAAATAACTTTGACAAACTAATTGATGGCAGTGACGGATTCTATTTCAGGTAAGAATATTATGAACAATAATTAGACAGCAATTTTTTTGTCAATTTTACTATCACCGCTGTTTGAGATGTATTCAACAAGGATAGAGAAAAATCACGTGACTTTAAAAAGGTATTTGTTGGACTATACCTAGTAGCTTGCCCCTCACTGTATAAGTAGTCATATTATTTGTCAAAGTGTCAAGTCGATCTGTAAAACTCTCCTAAAAAAATCGAAAATTAGAGACCTAAAAATTCAAAAAACACTCAAAAAAAGGGAATAAACCAATCAAAACAAATAAATCTACCTTAACAAGTACGAGAGTTATACAAAAAAAAGAATGAAAGCGTCCATTCGGAAAAAAAACTAGAAAGAAGAAAGAACAAAAAACGTCATTGTCAGAAAATTTGTCAAATTCAATTACTGATGAGGATACTGATGAAGATTTTTCAAACTCATTGCCAAAAAGATTTCCACAAGACAATAAATATGTAGAATATGCGAAGGATTTTTATATTTGTACTCAAGATCGTTTAGATGCA